AAATGAAAAGTAAATGTTTTATGAAATTCCACAAAAAATCTACTCTAGGAAGAAATATTGTGGAATGATGTTATAATAATCTAATGCTTCCCCTCTTTTTAAAATTGTTATTGTTATTCTACATTGTGCCAGAGGATATTCATTTGCCCCAGGGAAGGAGAAAACCAAAAGAACTTTTTTTAAAAGTAAATTTAATTTTAAAAAGTTTTTTTTCAAACTCATAACTAAGCCATTTGTATTGAAAGCTGAATTAGTTTTTAAGTTTGGCAAACTTTTCTAGGGAGGAAAACCTCTTTTAGATTTTAAAGAATGATTGTGAATATCAAAAGCCTAAGGACTAAAGTATTTTGTATGTGAAATGTATAATGTAAACTATACAGTTGGGAAGAATTCAGGTTTTTCTACCAAAATAAAATAAAACCATTCTGCCTTTGAGGGAGACGACACCACAGTTAGTTGGATATTGTGGAAAGTCTGCTCTTGCTCCTACACCAGCTAAACCCCACTGTAGGGAACAAAGGAAGGAAACTGATAAAAGAAAAGGGATTATGCCCCTCATTTCCCAGAAAAGCCTTTTAAAAAATGCTTGGATCCTTGTAGAGCAGAAATGGCTGAGTAAGGCATCAGGTAGATGGCTTGGTCACCCCTTACCATGTCCTATTCACTCCACTATGGCAGCAAGGCTGCAGTCGAATGTCCAGGTGCCCTTAAGAAGTCGCTGAGAGAGGGTCAGTGGACCTAGAGTAGCTTCAAAGTGGTTAGAAGAAAGATATGAAGAGCAGGGACCTCACTGATTCAAGAACACAAGACCAAAGTCATTTCAATAGATGCCAACAAGGATGACCATTGGGGGTCATGTATCTCCATAGAATCTAACATGGGGAGCTGGAAATGACCATGAATCAGGTTCCTCTTCCTACATGTTAAGAAAACTAAAAGCCTTGACCAGCACTTGATTCACCCCAAGGATAATCGGAAAGAGGTGGAAAAAAGAGGAGGAGCAGAACCTTGAACTTTATTGTTTTTACTCATAACATGACTTATCAATATTTAATTGCCAGCCAGCAGATTGGCAGCTCAGAATTACATAGTAGATTGAGTTGCAGAACTTTATTAAAGTTAGCTTTCTATGCACCTACATGCATAAAATTCACAATCAGTTCACACACAATGAAAGTACTGTGTACTCATATATTTCTTGTGCATCTTCTTGTAAATATCTCAATATAATAATTTTGATTTGCTCAGTAATTACAACTGTTAATCATTATAGTTTTATTCATCACCTATTTTGTCTCACAAATTGAGTCTACTTTGATTTTTTTGAGTTGAGAAACAGTAAATAGTCTTTTAGTATTCCATTCTAACTCAAGTTGCTTTACCCATATCAAAGTTCTTACATTGAAGCCCCTTGCTATTGACTTTGGTCAGGTTTTCAGGAGTCATGAAATTACCTAATTTTTCAGGTAGGTGCTATGTTGGCTTTTTCATATTTCCATTTAATTTTCTTTCCTTGCCTTTGTGAATTGGCTTACAAAGGGAAGGAGAGAACCCAATCTGAAGGACTTTTTCTAAATTATTCTTGCTCTTCTTGACCCTTACCTGTCTTACTGCCTTCCCCTTCCCCTATTCTGCTATCACTGGAGACTCCAATCTGGACCTGTTCCTACTTTTTTTTCCTTAACTAGTTTTATAGCATGTTTTTGGCAGTCTGTTTCCTGAGCAGCCTTCTCTTTCTTTGAGCTTGTTGTTCATCTTGTCCATGAGAAAAGAACCCTTTTCAGTCCCACAAAGCCTTCTCCTTCATGTGGCTTATCTTTAGCCAGAAGAAGCGAAGAATCAGACCAAGTTCCCTGAACTTTGTTCACATGGCCAGAGTCCCATTGCTTTTGAATGCTGATTAGGAATCTTCTCCACTCAACTCCCCCCCTAGTTCAATTTCATTTGGAGTCCCACCTGTGGGTTACAGGAAATGTACAGTGGGGTTCTAGAAAGATCTTAGCTCATTTCAGACCCATTTCTTAAAGGATATCTATATTTTTGTTTTGCTCTTATCTTATTACAAACCAAGCCAATTATATTATGCAGATATCCTTTCTAGTAACCACTTGTTTAAGCATTCAATTTATGTTAAAAGAAGATTCAGTTGAGTAATGCTTGTAATATGGTTTATACTTCAGCAAAATGGACTGGGTCCTTAACCTTAAGCTTGATTTGAACACTATATCACACTTTGACCTTGTAATTGTCTCTAAGAGTAGAGCAACGTGTGTCTGTGTATAGGTCTGTCAAGTGACCTGTGTTTTTATTATGTTAACAAGAGGTTGAGAAAGGGAGACTCAATTATTAGAGGCTAGCTCCCAGCTTCACTTTTGCCCTGGCCCTGGCTGTGATTTAAGAGACTTGACTGGCTGCATGAAACTCTGGCTCTATAACTTTACCTACAAGCTTCCATCTGGAATATATACACAAATATTTGGGTAGGGATTATCATCTTAGGAAATGAATTTCCTATCTACCACTCTCCACAGAGCATTCTGGACTTCTTTATTTCTCAGACTGTAGACAACAGGGTTCAGCAAAGGTGTTATAATAGTGTAGGTTACTGAGATTAACTGATCCTGATCTTTGGTGTTCTCTGATTTGGGTTTGAAGTAGGCAATGGAGGCACAGCCATAGTGGACAATGACCACAGTGAGGTGGGAGGTGCAGGTGGCAAAGGTCTTCTTTTAACCCTTCAGCTGAGGCAATCTTGAGAATTGTGGAAATAATGAGAACATACATGATGAAGAGGAAGGTGGCAGGGGCTGTGAGCACCAGGAGGCTGATAACTAAGGTCAGAATATCATTGATGATTGGGACAGCACAGGCCAGGTCCAACACAGGTTGAACATCACAGAAGAAATGCTCAATCAGTGAGTTGCAGAAGGGCAGTCTGAAAGTGGCCACAGCCTGAACCAGTGAGAGTGAGAATCCTGTGGCACAGACCAAGGATGCCAGTGTGGCACAGACCCTCCAATTCATGAAGATTGAGTAGGGAAGGGGGTTGCAGATGGCCACATAGCGATCATACCCCATTACTGCTAGCAGGAGGCAGTTGGTAATGGCAAAGCCAAGGAAAAAGAAGAGCTGGGTTCCACAGCCCTCCAGGGAGATGGACAGGCTCAGGCCTGCAAGGCTAGAAAGCATGCGTGGGATAATCATCAGGGAGTAGAAAGTCTCTGAAGTGGAGAGGACACTTAAAAAGAAATT